GTAATCTGTAAATTGTGCCAATGAACTGCAGCCTTCTAAATGTCTGTCTGAAAGGCCGAGTCACTAACTGTGAGGGATTTGTGGAGAATGCAATATCAAAATAATAGAAGGGACAGATTCATCCCAGGTGTAAGATACTGTAGTCAGTGGCAGTCTAGTGTTAAATACAACCCAAGATGCAAGCTCCTTCTGGAGAGTCCTGGAAGTTGAAGTGGCTGTGGTGATGCTSTCTGCCCTCTATCCCAACCAAGGCCCTGTGCTAGGCTATGGCAAGATGCTCGTATCTGATACAGAAAGACAAACTTTGCACCTCATTTATTTATTACCTGATCAAAGCCAGTCTCAGTACTGTACAACTCTTAATGTGTGAAAACTAAGCTACATTCAGACTGAGAGAACTGTGTCAAAGTGACAGAAGTCAACCCTTGGTGAAAAGTTCAGAGAGAAAATTCAAAGGCCTCTTATTTTTAATTGATTGTAGCAGTTTATCTTTATTTCCCAGCTCAAACAATGTGGCAGGCTGGCAAGAATGACACATTTTCTATGGACTCAATTCCTAGTATTGTTTACAAGCCAAATGCSAGGCTAGATAGTGGGTCAGCCCATTTGTAGCTGTGGCACAGACATCTATTGTCCATGCTATGTCTGTATGTTAGAAAAAAGTAACACATGAGTGCAAGGGACATGCGGTCTTCCTTTCTCATAAGCACTTTGGCAAGACAAGCTTGAGAAAAAATGGTAGGGTTTTTGTTCAGACGGTGATTTTTATTACTTGGAARAAGTCTATTTTCTCATCGCAATTGTTTTTCCTAGAAGTCAAGGATCTGAGCTAGCTAACCAGATTGCTGATTCTCTTTTATTTCTTTGTTCTCTGAAAATCCTGGATTTATGACAGAATCCTAGGAAGCGTAAGGGGTGCTAATTTGGCAAGATAATAGAAGCATTGGCTGTTGTAGCATTGTCATGGTTACATAGTTTGAYATGGTGAGGCAAATTCTGTTTGTTTCAGCCTTCTCAATATGTATTTAACAAATTGTGTGTGTATGTGTGAACTAAAGGAGGCAGTAGGAATGAAGCATGCAATGAAAGGCCAGTTGGGCCCTTCTTATACCACCTGCAGACTCAGATGGTGCCTGAGCCTCAACTTTACCTCAGCTTTAAGGGCTTTTCAAAGCAGTGAAGTGGCAAATCTGGAGCTGTCTTCAGTAGTACTATATCTACAGATATAATGTGGCAAAGGATGCAGCATTTGTCCCCACTTAATTTTGTCCACAGCAAGGGAATTCATGGGAGATGTTAGACAGAAATGTTACATTTTCTGTCCTTACTCTACAGAAGTATTTAGCTGGTGAATATTATTTGAAAAGAGAAGTGAACAGCAGTTAAGTAAAACATTTTAATATGAGCTTACTTTTCATAACAAAAGTGATTTCAACCCTTTTGAAAATCTATAATATCAACTTCTTTCAGTGAAGAATGAGAGAAGGTTAGTAGGATCAGTACGAGATGTCATGAAGTTCACTATAGGGTAAATTCAAGTAATCAATTAAGCAACTAATTTATTTTGAACTGTAATTACTGAATGCCAAAAACTGACCTGAGAAGAACAGGAATTAAGATTATGTGATAAAATGCTTGATGTAAAGACTGCTGTCGTACAGGGATTGTATTCTTTGAGGTAAGTTTACAAAATCAACCAGATGCATAATTTTTTTGCTCTGTTAGGGAATCTCAAATATRATGAAGATCCATAAACATGTTCTGTGAGTTCAAATTTATGACAGTTTYACTAGGAAGGTATCTGCTAAAATATCACAGATCAGAAGCGGAAGTTCTCTTGGTCTTTAGGCTTTTGGCTAGGTAGTCTTCTAATTGAAGTGCTGCAGCTAATTATTTTAATTAAGTCAGTTTAACCTGCTTATATAGCATGTCATTTCAAATGGAAATAAGTATTTGCYTCCTGAGGAAGAAGTTATATTCATTTTAACATCTTTTGTTTTATGTTGTAAGCCTATGCAGAGTTTCCCATCAGACTATAGTACTAGTTAAAATTATACTTTGACCACCTATGTTTCAATAGCAGACTCTGGCTAAACAAACCACATCCTGGAACAAAATCTCCTTTCATTTTTTTCTTCTAAATCTGATGTAATTCCACTGAAGTCAGCTGTGAGACTCCAGTTTTGCTGAGCTCAGAATCTGTCCTCTGGAACAACTGTGTCTCTTTGCTGGATCTTGCCTTGCCGGCGCATATCTGAAGAGTGATTGAGATCAGACTGATTCACTAAACTGGCTTTTGAATGCGAAGAGCACTGTCTTCAAGGAAGCTACTGTGCTTCCTCAGCAGTGACACGTGTGGCCTCTAAACCACATGCAGCCCTATGAGAGCCCTTCAGCCCGCTCAGCAGTGTGACTTAGCCCAAACTCTTGCTCCTGGGTGCTGCAGCCAAGGCCGAGGCACATCCAGAGGTGTCTCATGAGCTCCGACCTGCCTTGTGCAGCTTAGCCAGCTTGAGAGGCACGGAAGTGGTTTGTAAATGGTTTTAAGGATCCTTACGGTATGTGCGGAGTAATATTAGAGAGATGATCCTACTGAATTGAAGGATGTCCTTTTTTGGTTACCTCCTGTGGGTTCCTTGAGAAGTAGTTRCTCAGTATCTATAGGGCCATGGACCACAAGCTGAAAACCACCAGTGTAGAGCAAGGCAACGCTCTAGTCCTCAGCCCTTCCTTTTTAAGYAGCTATTCCTTGCACTAGCAAGAAAATATAATATGCTCCTCAGAACTTCTGTACTGACTCCATATGTGAGTTTAATGTGCAAGTAAAGAATCTATAAATTTTGTGCTCTTATAATGTACTCTTTATGCACATGCTTGTTATTTTCTATTATTCTRTTGGATTAGCATCTTAAGTGACAGCTCAGATCAGACTGTGGTGTTCTGACCTGTTTTAATGCTAAACTGCCTAAGTTAGGGCAAGTTGCACTACTTAAAGTAGCAGAGAAAGAAGAAAGGAATATGTGTGTGGTGACATGATTTGCCAGTCTTTGTGATCACACAGACCCACCATCTAAGTAAAGAAGTCTAGCAAAGCCTTCTGTAAATTTATGCATCCAGTTTAGCTCAAGTGCATGAATACAAATCCTGTAGTGTCGTGACAGTGTTCCCCATCCCTGCCAGCCAGCAGCCCTGCAGAGGCAGCCAGGCCTCTCACTCACAGTAAGAGCCTCTAGGGCTCATGCAGAATATCGCCCAGCGTGTAGCAAACCATCATTGCTGYCCACCTGTAGAACCTGGGGTTTGAGGCAGTAGAAGAAGGATTGCCAGACTTGAAGAGAAAGTCTTTTCCCAGTTATAAGCAGTTGGCAATGTGTCCAAAAGGCAGACAGATTGATAGATTTTTTTTTCAGATAAGAATGTTTTATATRTGTATATATATGGTTTTTATAAGACAGGGCAGGGAATATCTTTGTGATCTAGCTGCTGTGGCCAGAATGCTGCCTGCGGTTCTGGCAGTAGAGGAAATAACACCATCTGCAAATAGGAAGCAGAGAAATAGGGACTGTGCCACTGTTAGAAACAAAGTAGATGAAAGTAAGTAAATCTAGCTTTCCTTAGTAGAAAGCTGGTGTTGGCTTGCCCTTAGGACTAGGTGGGAGATTTCCTGCACACATGGACATCAGGCAGACATCTAGCATGTCTGGTACTGCTGTGCATGACCACTGGTCCTCAGAGTATGATGGTATGATAAAAACTTCAGTTAAACTAACCATGTACTAGAAACATCTTTTTACCTCAAAGATGTTCAGTGCTTCCTAAATAGCTAAACACTTGGCTGGCATACATCCTTGTAGATCTTTTACAATCACGAGGATGGGGCTTAACAATAGCAAATTTTTATATTACCCTTGTATAACTGACAGAGGCAGATTTCAGTTTTCATTTATGAAATGAAACCATGCTGTGGGGCCAGGAACTTGGGTTCTGCACAGTTTCTCATGGCACAGAAACCCATATCCTAAAGCACAGCAATGTTGGAGACACATGCATGGACTCACGGAGACATAGGCATGAGTTTTGTTCTTGGCACTGACAAACATGTCTGGCCACATGTGGCCAATTGGCAACAATGGCAAACACAAAGCCTGTATCGACATTGCTGGTAGATCCAGCTGCCTCTTTTTCACATACCAATTCTCATTAATCTGCAGCAGTGAAGACCATGGGGACACAAGAGGAGAGCCCTTTATTTAGAACTGAGAAGTAGATCATGGACTGTGCAAGCTGCAGATTAGTTAGTGGTAGAGAAAGTGCTGAAGGAAGGGCTAGTGGAATAAGGAATAACCATTTCCCAATAACTCATGGGTTTATTGAAAAACAAAAAAAAAATTTGGGAAAAAGAAATCTATTTCATTGAAAAAACACAATATCTGTGAAACATAAAACCCAGAATGCTGCCTATGGTGACCCCAGCTGGCTGTCCAGGCCGTCTGTAAGAACAGGGCAAGTCTACRTGATACCTTTGTTTGAGTATTCCTTATGACACTCTCTCAGGAGACTTCCCTAATCTGAGGTGTTGTGTCTGTTCAGTGATTCTCAATAGATTTTTGTTCCAAATGTCTGTCCAGTTTCTTTTAGAAATGCCTGATCTTTTCTTTTTATGRTGAGGGATGACTTTCTATGACACAATGGAATTACTGCCTCCAAAGTCTCTCTAAACTGTGACAAAGCTCTGGAGAAAGGAATTCAGTATAGGCAGAAAAATCAGCACATTTGCTGTTTTGAAAAGTAGACAATGAACAATAATGGCATTTTTTTCTCTTTGCAGGGTTCACTCTTGAGATGTTAGGTCATGTCTGTCTACAACAAGTAAAAGAAGAGGAATAAACAAAAGAAATGATCATTGACTTCACAGAAGCTTCTGAGAAATGAAAAAGGGCCAACTAAGGCAAAGAGTAYTTGACAGGCACAGAAAAAAATAGGGAGGAGCCTCTCTGTGTCCTAGAGACRGCAGAGATGCTTCTCTCTGAGCAGAAGGATTGTAAAGGGCTTTCTAGACAGAAGAGCTAGCCAGTCCATACTGGTCCAAGGACAGAGCTCATAGGGGCCACGAGATGAAGATAATCAGATGAGCAACTGCTGTGGGAAACTTATTCTATGAAATAGTTCTCTATACCCTGTGGTCCTCTATGCCACACAACCTCAGATTTCATAAGCTGCCACTTCTCAGCAGAGACTTTCTCCTGGAGCCTCCTGTGCAGTTTGGCACAAGAGGGCTTTGCTGCTGTTCCTTCCTTTGCAGCAGAGCAGCAAAACTGCTCTGAGAGCTGTTTGTCTGAAATGGGCCATGGTCAATACAACACTTCAGCCCACTGTTTCCTTGGAGCTTACCAAAGAAAAGGCTTAGAAACAAGCACTCTGATCTATTCAAAGCAGAGGTGGGATTGGAGCTATGTTGGCAGTCTGCAGGATTCCTGAAATTTTAGAGAAGATTGAAACAGTAACACTGAGTTCCTCTGGAGCTCAAACTGATCAAAAATCCTGAAATGCCACCTCCTTTTCTCTTTCCCRTTCTAGTGCACTATTTGCATAACTTTTAAGTATGTGAAATTTTAGGGAAATGAAATCATTTCTTGTTCAGACTGTGAGGTTTTTTTTCCTGCAAAGCAGATTTTTTTAACAGAAGCCAGCACACTTTCCTGTGTAGAAAGTTCAGCCTCTTCTTTGTTTTAGAATTTATGCAGATAACTAAAACAAACATTATATTTGAAAGGTATCTTCAAATACTTTAGACCAGGGCAGAGCCCTGGCAAGATGACTTGCCAGAACTGCACAGCAGAAATCCAAACGTGCAGCACTGTCCTGCTCGCCAGGCCAAAACAGGCCACACAGAATGGGTGGTAGGTGTTGCTTTTCCCCAAGCTTTTCTCACCACACTAAACGAGTGGTACTGCTTTTCCCCAAGCTTTTCTCAATGCTCTGTGGACATTTAAGGAGTTTCCCAAGGGCTGCTCAGATCATCACCCCTTTGCAGGGTGCTCTCCATGCCCTCACAGCTGCTGTTCAGCCCAGAGTGGCTGTGACTGAAGCAACTGCAGTTAATCAGAGCCTGGCCATCAGCGGGCAACCAACCGGTCTCTCTCATCCCCTTGGAGATGCATCTGTGTCCTCAGAGCCGGTGGTGTCTTGTCCTTGCTTTGTCTCCCAGAAAGCTTCATCAGCCCCTGTGGCAGGGAGGTGGGAGGGAAGGAGAACACCTCTCTAGCATTAGCTGCAGCAGAGATGCCAGCAAGGCTTCTGAGAACTGGGAAGCCTTGTAGAACGTGAAAGGTGTTAGCTGTGATCCATGCACTGCACAAATCTCCCATTAGCTGATCTGTCGACATCAAACTGGCTAGCTCCAGGTCAGCAGTCACCAAGGAGGATAACRGAAATTCTTTCTTTCTCGTCATGCTGCAGCGCAGGGGTAAAGTCCCAGAAAAGATGCAGCTGCTCCTAATATTGCTGCGTAATCCTTTTTGGATTGAATTTGGAAAGAAGATGACACTTCTTTCCGGAGCTCAGAAAGGGCACTGCGGTAAGTAAAGATATTCCACCTCATTCCTTAAGCAACTGTTGGGTCTTACTGTCCTTTCCGCAGCCACAGCAGCAGACAAGTAGGCGAAGCTACAGCTGCTGTCGCTCCAAAAGTGCAGCTGAAGGTGCCGCTGGCAGCTCTTCACGGGCCCCTGGGTGGCTGCYGCGAGGGGTGTGCGGGGGCCGTGTGGACGTGGTGAGATGGGAGCTGTGCGGGAGGGCGGCGGGCCGGCAGCGCGTGAGGCGGCCACTGTCCTTGGCGCGGGGCTGCGGCGCCCGCCTGGCCCTGCCAAGCGCTGCCACGGGAGGAAATCCCCCAAGTGGAACACAAAGACRGCAAGTCATTTCCTCCAGGGTGAACAGAAAGACATCTGTGTTGATCCAGCCACTGCACGCTGCTCGCAACAAAACAATGTGGTTCCAAGCACAGGCCCCACATTCTCTTTCTGCYAGGCCAGTACTTTAAAATATCCGAGATATACTTTAACTGATTTTTACAAGCTCTTTTTTTTTCTTTGAAGGGATTTTGTAGGCTGACAGTTTCTGCAGGTGACGTTGCGCTAAGGTAAGGATGCCTGGAAGAGGGGCTGGGTGYTGCCTCCCTGTAGACCTCGAAGCTTGAGTTGAACACCAGCTTTTTCGGTTACGTCTTCCCTAAGCGGGTACCTGGGCTCTGGGGTAGCTGCACGTTTAGCTACCAGGTAAAGAACTGCAGCCCCTGYGGATTTGCCCAGCACAGACAGGGCATAGGACCCACTCGGGATGGAGAGGAGATGTCCTGTGTCCCTGGTACTGCTCTTGCTTGGCTGGGCATTAGCAGCACCTGGGCCAAAGTGCTTCTTGAGTGCGCTTTAACACYGGCTGTGCACGCACAGCTGCAGGCAGTCTGCATCCCGCTTCAAGCATKGGCACTTGCAAACCCCACTTTATTATTGTTAATTATTATTGTTATTATTATCTGTGCTATGTGGAAGCAGCAGTGCAACAGGGCTCCTGCATGTGGGCCACCTGCTGCATTTGCATCTCTCGCTGCCTCGCACTCGCGCGGGCCACGCGGGTGCGCAGCGCTCCGCGGAGCAGCGCGGGGACGGGGGAAGGGGGGTGTCCGGACCGCCCCCGCGCCCCGCCGCTTCCTCCTCCTCCTCCTCCTCCTCCTCGCAGGGAGTCGCTGTGTGCGACCGCGGGCGCCTTCCCGCCTGGGCGAGCGCGGCGCCTCCCGCCTTGCGGGGCGCTCCCCGACTGCAGGTAACGGTGCCGCCGGAACCCCGCGGGGTATATGTATGTATAGGTATGTAGGCATGTGTATGGGGGGGGCGGGGTGCCCTTTTCACACCAGGACACAGCCCTCGGGAGCTCTCAGACCCGCTTTGAAGCTGGTGCTTGCTTTGCTTCTCTTGTACGTGTCTGTGTAACTTTGTGCCGTGGCTCTATCCTCGCTTCCGTGCGGCTGAGAGGGGCTGATCCGCCGGGTCTAGAGGCGCCCGACACTCATAATGCAGTGCTTGCAGCAGCTCCCTGTGCTCCTCGGCTTGCGCGGGGGCTGTGGTGAACGCCCTGAGGTTAGGGCACAAATTCACCGTACTTGCAAGCAGCATGAGAGCTGATAGGTTTGTGRTTTTTCTCCAAGTCCCTTCACTCCTCTGCTGCGTTGGAACCGAGTGGAACTCGCTCTCTGAAACCTAAATTGAGCTTTTAGAGTGGAAATGGCTGTGGTTTTTCTGCTTGGAAAGATAAAGGTGTACTTTACTTTGAGAAAACAGCTTAAAAGATGTCCCCTAATAGAAATGAAGTAGCAAATTTGCTTTGGGTGTACTTGCTTTTTGACCAGGTGTTTTTAGTTAAGGGTAAAGTCACAGGTACTTTGTGTGTGTTACTGCAGCCRCAGCCAGGCTGCAGGGTCAAGCGCAGCAGGTTATCTTCTCTCAGATCTTACCATTGAGGAGAAGGTGACTTGTTAGTTAGTTAMTTATGAACAGACTCCCAGCTGTGTCCAAGTGGGTGCTCAGAGTGATTTTGAGCTCTCTCTCTTCGTCCGCAGCCCAGCTGTGCTGCTTGCCTTGTGCCTTCCTTTGGTGTAAAGGGGCCCGTCCCCCTTTCCCGGGCAGGAGTGCTGGTGCTGCTTTCCTTGYGTGGCATCTGCTCCCTGCCTTTTCCCCACAAAGACGCCTGTTCTTGCCCCGTTTTCCCTATAGGCTTTTGCATTTCAGGTGCCACATTTCCYATTGAGCTGAGGAGTCTGCTGGAAGGTGCGGAGAGGACCTCATAGCAGCAAGGGGCTGAGTGGGTGGGTGAGCACCCCCTGTGCGAGGTGCAAGAGGCCATGGAGGGGACTGGCCTGCGGAGCAGAAGTTGCAGCCATCTCCTGAGGCAGCATCCAAGTGTTGGGGAATAGTGAGTAGCTGCTCCAGGAGTAGCAGTAGTGAGTACYCAGCTCCAGGCTTCATCACTCACTGCTTCTAGTCTTCTGGTGTCGCAGTCTGTGGGGGGACTGAAGCAGGAGAGGCCGTTTACTAGCAGACTCCTCTATGGTAATCTTTCTCTTCTTGGAAAATAAAACCCGAAAAAGCATGATTTACTTGAAATTAGGGCTTATGGTGAAACTGCTATGTTGGTCTCTGCATTTATCCTTGTAGGAAGAAATGTTTTAAATGCTCTGCTAACTCTTAAAAGGAATGGTATGAATGCCTTGAACCAGGTGGTTTCTGTGTGAGTTTGCCTGCTGAAGTTGCTCAAAACAGACCAATGCAGTTAGGGTTGGCACTTGGTTATTGCTGGCTTTTTTTCTTTTCCCCTCTCCACACAGCTGTAGAAACCAAGGATGAAGATTTGGATTTCTCATAGTTAAATATAATATTTCTTAAAATGTCTCTAGTTCTCATATGCCAGAGATGATTTTCATAAAGTGACTCTGGTTCTCGTATGCCAGAGATGATTTTTATTAGATCTTCAAGGTGCATCCCTTGTTTTGGAAGTTAACGTAAATTTAATGCTTTAAACGTACCACTGTCAGATAGTGAAAACTATGTCCTTATTTCTGTTAGACTTTAATTCTTAGCTGTTTCTTCAGTATTGTGAATTTGTGTATCCAGAATCCTGGCTGACTGCCTATAGTGGTTAAAAATTGAGATAAAGAAAATAGAGCTGATAAAACAATGTACAGCTGATACTGTTTTATCTCTCCCTCAAAGACATTGTATTCAGAAATGCCATGATACTATGGTATCCTGTAATTCATGATAAAATAACTGGGAGGTGGCTGGCTTTACAGAATTGCCTGGCAGCATCATGAAAAACTGCGTCGTCCCCTCCATGTTGGTGAAACCTCTTTTAGATTAGTTCTCTGTATATTGTGCTAAGTTTTAAACTGAGTACACAAGATAAGGTGCAGAAAGGTCTAATTGTCATATAAATGTTTGTATCTCCAATATGTAAAACATTTTCTGCTTGTTGGATAAGGGAAGTCTGTGATTATTGTTGTCTGCACAAAGATTGTGGAAAAAATGTCTTTAACCTCCCTTAACCGTTGATCTCTAGCTAATGCTCTTCTGGTTTTGACTTATTAGGTAACCTATTGCCTTCTCATTGCTGAAGCTGGAACTGTGCTTGTAAAAACACAAGTTTGTGTCTGTTAAGTTTGAATGAATTGCAACAATCTACAATGGCTCTCCTGCAGAAATAGGGTAGGGAAATAGCGATATTAAAATCAAACAAGGTGGAGAGCAATAACCTGACAAAGGAAAGTAGAGGTTGGTGCAGTAAGGCTGAAGGACATCAATGATGTGGCTTAAATTTGTGCTACGGATATTTTTATTATACTGATGCATGTATTTGTAGTCAAGATGCTAGTAATTCTGCTCCAAGTGACAGTAGCGGTCAGTTATTGTATCCTGCAGGTCCTGGAGCAGTAGTGTTTCTTTAAATGTCCTGCACATCCCCCTAACTCCCTATGCACAGGGGACAGGGCTGCTGTTTTGCTCGCTGTGGTGTGMCAGAGATGCCCAGGGCGAAGGGATCAGCCTGTCCTGCCTTAACTCTCACAGCTCGTGTGTGACACTGGTTTAAGCCTTGGTTCTATCACTGATACAGCTCAGCATGAGCCCTCAGCAACTAGGGAAATTGCACCTGCTTTCAGCAAGTGCTCAGTCTCTAGAAATGTGTTTTCGCTACTGAACAAGTGAGTGTGCCCCTCTATTCTCTAAAGTATATTTTATGAAGGAAGTGTATTTTATGAAGGAAGGCTCCCATGATGTGCATGGGGAGGGAAGCTGGCGCGGGCGGGAGGCAAGTGCCCTTTCTGTCCTGCCTGGTGGAGCAGGAACTGAGTTTGCGTGACGGGAGAGTGACTGCTGCCCCGTGGCGATTACAGCCCTGGCAAGTCTCAGTCATCCTGTGCCTCAGGCTCAGCCGCCTGGGCGGTGATTCAGAGTCAGGGTAGAGAAGCAGGAGAAATCCCATGTGAGGCACAGCTTGGGCACAAGTGGACTCTTACACGTGGGGGGAAGAGGGCTGTCATCGGAGATGCTCTGGAGGGAGGGGGAAAGAGAGGTCAGCTTCTTGCAGATGGGGCTGTGCTCTGCTGCTGCTCTGAGAAATATCTCTGAGTAAGATATGTGTCCAGTGTCCTGGGAATAGGTCTCTGTCTTGTGGACAGGATTTATCTTCCTTACAAGAATGACATTGCCTAGCAGAAGTGTTTTATTTCAACAATATGCAGCATATAGGAGAAAAAAAGTGTCACTCGGAAGGCTCCTGTGTGGATGAGTGCCGCGCTTTTGGGAAGTCTGGTGAAGCCCATGTCTACTTCAGCTTGTCCAGCCTCAGTGACTGTGGACGGGAGAGCTGGGACTTGGAGTGCCCCGTAGAGACAAGTTGCTGTGAGAGCTGGGCCTGGCTGGTGGCCACGGTCCCCAAGCTGCTCCCTGTCTGGTGAGGGCCACCGCGGGTGGCAGCTCTTGGTGGCGGCAGGGAGGAAGCACTGTTTGAGGCCCCAGTCACAGACTCTTTTCTTTGGAACCAGTTACACTTCAAGAAGATGATTTCCTCCCCTGCCCCCAACCTTTCTGCCAGGTAATCACATACYGACAGCCTGAAATTGCAGATCAATCCTTCACAGTCCTACAGTGGGAGAGTGAAAGAGAGGCTCTGTCCCAATCAGRTTGTATGACCTGATGCAGGAGACATGCTCTTAACATATAGAATTGATTTGAATGGACTTCTCTTTCTGTCACTTACAGACACTTTAAAGCAGTAATCTAAAATAAACTTGTGGTATCTTTTGGAAATCAAATTGCTATCTAGACATACTTGGCAAAGATCAATAAAAGATTGTTTTCAAAACTGAAAAATTTAGCCTCCCAGTGTTAAGAGTTTATAATTCCAAAATTGTCTGTGCAACTTCAACTTGCTTATACATAAATTATTACAAAAATACTGCTTAGTTATGTCCTCATATGCTATTTTCCTTTCCCATCAAACCTCTGTTYCGTTCAGAGCACTGCTCTCCTGGACCTTGTCAGCTTGTTCCCCACCAGGGCCATGTGTGTGAGCCACCAGTGAGCACCAGTT